TGGGTGCATCCTCAAAGACCAATCAGGGCCATTCTGCCAGGCCACCCGTATCCATTTACAGCGTAATGACACAGTTACTACACCTGCAGTAGGAGAATGGAGTAATAGCCCTCGGTGTCACCTCTGAGTATGACAAAGTGAAGGGCAGGAGCTGGCTGGAGTTTTCGTGCAATAGACAGACCCAGTAATGCACTCTCCTTCCTGTTTATCCCAGTACTGTCCACAACTCCTATGTCATTCTCTTGAGGGGGTGGGGGGTGGCGGGGGATCCTCTCTTCCTCAGGGGGAGAAAATATATTCTGGGACCCAACATCTCACTCTAAAACTATATTGTGCTACTTCAATGCTAAGGAGAGGTCGACACAGACAATGCACTCATGTTTGGGCTTTCCTTATGTTTTTACCATCTAACACTCAAAGGAGTCATTCACAGTGAAGATTTGAGAGTGGTCAGAGTGCTGTTTCCGAAGTGCATCACCGCCATTTCATGTCACAGTGTATTGGTGTCGTGTGGCATCAGCGCATCAGTTTCCGTCCCTCATCCTACTGTTGCAGGTATCTCATTACTGCATGAAGGCGTAATTAATCAGCACGAATCTCCATTGATTAGACTCATCAGGGACATTTGGTCACTGTGATTACATATTGTTTTTTTTTTTCAATCAGAATCCATAATCTTGCAGGCTACGTTCTGCTGCCTCTTGCTCTGTGCTTTGCAGAATTGGAATATGCAGGAGACGATACTGGAATGGTTGGCCGGTATAACAGGCCCATTCAGTGCTGAAAGGAGGCAAATTGCCAGTGACTTCCTGCGTGGAGCAGATTGCGTTCGGTCTTATTTTCGCACTTACGTTCGAACATTTCAATTTATCAGGATTAAGTGCCTCATTAAGGGTATTCGGGACTTAGCTGCCTGGCCCATGATATTCAGAACAGATAGCGGTCAGCAAGAAGGACTTGGCAGCATCTGACAGCCATCCGGAAAACTCGGCCCTGACGCCTCGTTCTCTCCTGTCCATTTGGCTCCACGCATTCCGCCCAACGCACTCCAGGGACCATCTAAAAATGGCTAGCCAGCGTGGCCAACAAATTTGGGCAGGAGGAACAGGAGAAGAGCAGGGAACTCCTTTACATTTTCTGTGGCAAGACCCTAAAGCCAAAGGGACTGTGTTTAGCGGTGATGAAATATTATCAGGAGGATGTCAGGGACCGTGGTTGTGATGTATCACGTGAGATGACTCCTTCCAGTGCAGTGATAATGCCTGCGATGAGAGAAAATGAAAGAAGACACCATGGCACGTATTTTCCACTGTCCAACTGCTGCGTTCTACAGCCCAGACACATCCGACTCCCCCATGACACGTGAGGCAAACCCCATAAAACACTGTTCCTAACACAAGACCGCTGCTGTCGCCACATGGTCGCCCGTGGGATTTTGGACAGCCTGTGGGACACAGGAAATGTGTGTTTGTTTACAATTAGGGCCACTCTCCATTTGGCCTGTTTTAATCAACATCACTGTGCAGTGAGGGTGAAGGGCACTGCCAGAGAACCTCTAACGGAGCTAACAGGCTAAAAACCATCAGCCTTAAATCCTCCATGTTCTCCGCTGCTTCTACGGGCTGCAGTTCATTTGCTGAGGAATTAATCATCACAGAAAGGAAGACAGTGGCCATAAAGTTCACTCCAGTGAGGAGATTACATTGCTAATAGCCTTGTTTTCGCAGGGAGGGTTTGAGCGTGCGTGTTCCTGAAGTGAAGTGTGAAGTGTTCCTCTGCAATTACAGGCCGAGCCAATAAAATCAAACGTAAAGAAGATTGTGGAAGAGGTGGAAAAAAAATATAGGTTCTTTCTCCCCCCCTTTTCGTCTATGGCAGGAAGCCACCTTTTCATGTAATAGAGACAGCACACATATAACAGTCAGCCACTGTAAAATGACCCCATAGTAAGTGAAGTCATTTCATGCACTGTGTAGTGCTGCATGAGCCGGGTCAATGCAGGAGAAGAGCTAGCCGGTCGATCCCTCCCAGCACCATGGAGACGTCCCGTGGGACGGCAGTGACAGAGGAGTCTGGCAGGACACAGCCCGTGTGCACAGCCGGTTATCAGACTTTTATAAATCCAGTCTACGGTTTTGCGTTACTGCCCGAGAATTCAACCGGTCCACTCACCATCGTTTCACCGGCAGCCAGCTGAGGGGATGAGTACCAAATTTTAAGATTCACATTTAGAGTAAGAAATGGATACATGCGGATTTAGGCTGAGAACCTCCGCTGTCTGGGGCTGATTCATTGAGGGCTGTGGGGATTTATCTGTGCGACCAAGGGACCCTGCATGCACGGATGCCCAGACTGACTGAGGCTGGGCATATACTGTAGCTGTGAGAATACAGATAGCTTTCAGAGCCTCGTACTTTTCTTCTCACACGTGGGGGGGGGCAGACATCATGGGAGAGGATGGGCTTCTTTCCAGTTCCCAATCGCTCCCCCCACTGTTTCTCCTCTGACTCCTATTGCAGGGGGGATTTCATTTGTTTGAGGATTCAATCTCAAGGTTTTTCTTAGCGTGCATTTCAAAAACAATCATTAAGTCTACTTCGCAATTCTGCCTGCGCCCCCAAAGGTTAGACCATCTGCTTGGTTGCACTTCTGAAAAGGAGTACGTGAGAGTCACAGAACTGTGACTTCACCGGTAGCTTGGCTGGACTGAATAGCCATTTTCCTCCCATGGCGAAGGCCAGAGAGACTGGCTGATGTAATTGCACCCCGGCTGACCACAGGTGGGACACTGGTGACTGAGCCCCAGCTGGAGGGAAAAACAACTATGAATGTTTTTTGGAAAGCCTGGTAGCCTTGATTACGGCCACGGCGAGGGGTCAAAAAAAAAGAAATGACTTCCTTGCGAGAGAACGCTGTTGACGCGGCGGGTTTTCAAAAAGCTGCACCACACTCACTGATCGGGCCGCTGGATTGGGCCCGCCGTGTTCAGATGCCGATGCCTTATCAGCCGAGCCTCTAGACTGTGTGTGGTTCCGCAGGCGGTCTGCCCCTGAGCCCCACGGGTTAGACCCGCTTCCAGGAGTGTCAGATTTCAGCCTGGAGGACAGCCAGAGCTACAGCAGGCTTGTTTCGGGAATGGGACAGCACTCTGAGTGCTGGTGAAGGGCCTGTATCGCTATCAAAGGGTTATCCGTGCTTGCCATGGGCAGCTGCCAGATCAGACTGCAGCACAGCTCCTCCTCGTGTTTACGAACCTCCTTCAGGTGGGACAGGATGGGTAATTAACAAGCCTATTAAAATCTAAGTAATCACCTGAGCTCTCTGTGCCATGTGAGCAAACTTTGTTAAACGCAATTTCTGGATAATCTGCGTGAGAAGATGAGCACAGGGATTTACATTAAGTCAAGGTCCAACACCCGGCCGTCCACACCACCGCGTACACCGCTCTGAGGCCTCTCGTTATTATTTTTGAATTATTTATCTATCTGGCAGACGCTCCTATCCCGAGCCTGTTTATTCAGTGAGGGTTTTGCCTGGGTCTGTGAGAGCGTTAGGTTTGTTTACCTGTCTGTAGAGTCGTTGGGGGAAGAGACAGAGAGTGCGTGAGCGGTGCCGAAATGACACATCCTCCCACACCTCACACACAGGGAGACGGTAACTTCTTCACACGGCCGCGGCTACAGCGACATCCATTTCAGCCCTGTGCATTTCTGTCCGGGTGAAATCTCACTGTGTGGAAGCAGCGCGGCTATAACAATCTCCCTGGGAGGCAAGGATACTGTATGGCACAAACGCTGACACAACTGTCTCCACAGCGAGGCTAGCCCTTACTGTGTCCAGGCCTGGACACGTTGGTGGCAAACTCACTGTAATCACTATTAATACTGTTGTTTTTTATGTTGCTTTTCTTAGCAGTCTCCCTTATCCAGGGCAGCTTAGACAGCTACCTTGCCTCAGGGTAGAACACAAGGCCTCATCAGGGAACTGAACCTACAGCCTGTAGGTTACAACCCCATCTCCTTAAGCACAGCACCACCCTAAAACCTTCATCATTACTAACCCTGAAGTGGACGCATGATCTTCAGCGCATTCAGTTGCTCAGCGGAAACTAGCCACTCCTCTCAGGGTGTTCCAGTGTATAACTGAACATAGCATAAGAATTTACACACAGGTGAACACAGAACTTCGTCCCCAAACAGCAGGGGTGAACACAGAACCTCATCCCCAAACAATCTCTAAGATGAGGTGACATGATCATTGTGACTAGAGAGAGGGACAGGGATATCAGGCCGGTTTGTCAGAGCCAGGTAGAGGCAAGGCACTCTGGGTAACAGCGGCCCCACCCACACAGAGCTAGAGGCTCTGGATAATAGGTGTGAGCGCTGGAGATTGTGTTGTTCGTGAGTGGGAGTATGCCATTCCATCCAAACCCTCTGAAATCTCACCTTGGCATGAAAGTGTTCAGCATGGCCCCGTGTATAAAATGTGTTTGCGGTTTTCATACGCTTCTGTAATGGCTGCCTGAGTGAGGATGACAACAGGAACACGGCTTTCGGGAAGGGAAGGGGGGGGTGACGCCGGGCACGATCCTCATATTGTTCTGAGGCATTTTTAGACACTCCATATTTATCTTTTCCATGCCAGGTGAAAATTGACGGGATCTCACTTCGAGATGGAATTCCGCTGGGTCCGCCCTGAGCTCTCCCACTGCCACCCCGTGCCCTGCCGCAGTCGTGTCTCAGCATGCCCTGAGCCAATCAATTCCCCAAAAAACCGACGCACGGGTTTCAACACGAGCGCACGCAGAGTCCACTGAGGGGAAAAAAAGGCATTGTTTGAAAGGCATTTTTCCTTCCTGCACGACACGCTCAACACTGCGCATGTGTTCCATTTAGCCCCGGAACCTGTTACGCTAATGTTCCGTTCTGTGTTCCGTCTCAGAATTGTGCTGACTCTTCCTCCCTTACAGCTCTCTTGCGCGCAGTAGGTACCGCAGTAGTTCCTTATTAGTACAGTGGTGAGTATCCCCGCCTGTCATGCGGGAGTCTGGGGTTTGATTCCCTGACAGGCAGCAAACTCTTTTACTACTTATATGGCTTTTTGTTTGTGTTGTACTCTTTTACATTACATTATTGCCATTTAGCAGACGTTCTTACCCAGAGCGACTTTTTACAATGTTATCCATTTATACAGCTGGATATTTATTGAGGCAATTATGGGTTAAGTACTTTGCCCAAGGGTACAGCAGCAGTACCCCCATGGGGAATCAAACCGGCAACTTTTCGGTTATGAATCCTGCTCCTTAACCACTATGCTACTCTGCCTCACTTGTAGGTCGCTTTGGATAAAGGTGTCTGCCCGAACGAATAAACGTAAATGTGATTCTGTCCAGTCTATGGACTGCTACAGTTGGGTTGACATTTAAAAGCTGGGGTCCTGTAATAAGAAGGGGTCAGAGCAGTTAACCCGGCCAGGCCAGCATGCAAACCACAAACTTCAGGGAGGGGACACTGAGAGGGGCCTGCGAACCACACTCTATTAGATTTAAATATCAGATCTCCATCAGAATCCCATTCCCTGGGATTGCATTAGGAGTGTAGATTAACAGCGGGGGCCCCCGAGGGGCTGGTGCTTTTCAGCCGCCCTCTTCACTCTCGATTTGCGTGGAGAGATTGTCATCTACCGCCCGGAATGGCCGGAACAATGTCGGCACGACTGAGAGAGCGCTCCCGCTGGGAATTAAGAGGGCCTTTAATAACCGCGAAGGAAAGGGGAAAGCGCCGAAATTCAATTATTTTAATTATTCTGAAGAAGAGCGATACTTTCCGTAACCCGAGTTGCTTCCGTAAACGGTTGGCTATATAACTGGCCAGCATTTTAAATGCGAGCTCTGTAAGGTGCTCTGATTCAGGGGGTCTGCTGGGCAAACGAGGGATAATTTGGCCTTGCAGACTAGAATACATGATGGTGTGAGTTCTCTGAATTCTCAGGGCCGCGCTTCCATACAGATGTTTAAACACCATGCGAAACGGAGAATTGCAACAAGGCCCAGGCAAAACGCGCTGCACTCCTGCTCTTGCTTTCCAATGAGAATAGCTCGTATTCCAATTTGAAAGAGCAAGATAACATGGCTGGGATTCTCTCCTCACACCTGGATCAGCACTCAGGAATCTGGAATTTTCTGGCTTCCTGACAAATCCCAGCCTAAAGTACTAATCCCACCTGCTTCAGGATTCCAATTCTGCAGTTTCTCCAGGTGTAACATTGCTCCACTGTTTGCAGCTAGCACCATGCACATTTAACATACAACTCAAGATTCAAAGCACAAGACAGGCCTCTCTCTGTTCACAGTTGTTGTCGCTGGGTAACAGATGAGAAGAAAATCAAGAAAGCATCTAAGCAGCAAAATTGGTGTTATCCTCAAGGTGATGCTTGGATTAAGGAACCGGCCCTGAAACCAGAGCTTTGCAGGTTCCAGTCCCAGGTGGGCCGTGACGGCTGTACCCTTCAGCGAGTGACTTAACCCAAATTGTTTCAGTAAAATTACCCAGCTGTATAAATGCATAACATGTTCAATTTAAGTTATGTAATTTGCCCTGGATAAGGGTGGATGACAGGCAAATGAATAATAAATGTTGTACCTGTTATTCTTGCGTGTAATTCTGTATTATTTACAGCATTACTACACCAATTTATACTTTCTTACTAAAAAAGAAAATCTTGAGTAATTTGCTATGCTAAAATTAGGCACTGAAAAGACAGATTTTTTTACATCATACTATTGTATCACAGGAGAAACTTGCCATCATATGGTGTCTTTCCTGGGTATAATCATAATTCATTAAGAGTGGAACAAAACAATCTGACCATTTTTTTCAAACCAACCAAGTATAATGTTATTGACTGTAATGGATGGGAATGATGCCCAATGCTGTCTATCTTAAATATATTGTTGGAATATGGTTACATACTGGTATTTTTGTGTCTAGACAGGCTTGCTGTAACACATTGTAACTTAAACTAAACATGATACACATACATTTAGGGTATCATATTAAAGCACACTCCATTCCCCTTATGCAACCACTGACTCCCTGGCTGTGAACACAGCAAGATAATATTCTGAATGTAACAAATTATGAATATGTATATCTTAAATACACGGCACATAGGTTAATGCACCGCATTTCAGAGTGGGCCCATTTCAAATGTTGTTGTCCATATTATGCCATCAGTATTTCACAGTAATGGACCTGATTCTGCAGCTTCTCTCTCTCTCTCTGCCTCCTGTGCTCCTCTCTGTAGATGGAGAGTTTATGACTGACACCTTTATGAGAAAGCCACCCATCTCTGGGGGATAGAGAATGCACGCAATTACATTATGCATGAGCACAGCTAGGCACGGATTTGTCATGCAAGATTATATTTTTTGTCCCACAGTTCATGGCAAACTAGAACATTCGCTGCGATGGTGATGAACACTTCTGTCCACGAATTGCATGCTTATCTATTTGTTTACTTTCTTCATCCATTTGGGATCTTTATTCATTTATAATCTGTTATGACTCATGCATCTATTATTTCAGAACTCACTGCTTCATGAAATGATTATACAATGACTTTTTTCCCTGCCTCACAGATTCAATAAATTATATAGAGTAATCTTCTGTTTTGTACCAGGGTGGTGTTTTTGCTTTTGCTCCTCATGGTTAATGGTTTAGGGCTTTCCATTAAGTTTTAAATGGCATTAGAATAAAATGTCCATAATAAGATGCAAAACACATCTTAAATTTCACAATGACAGGTCATTTTATGGAAAAGCATGACACACTGGTATACAGATGTACTGTAATACCCAGAACTGTGCAGCTTCCATCTTGCACACACAGCACTGATGACTTCACAAAACACTGAAGGAACTTGGAAGTGTACACACTCTGATGCCTTGGGGTGACCTGGCTTCCACATAAGGGTGGATGCCCAAAGTGACAACAGCTCGCTCCTCTATGCTTCTGACATATGCAGGAAAGACACGTGTTTCTCTCCCTGAGAGAGAGAGGCCGCCAAACACAGGAGAGCACACAGCAACCCCCTGGGAGCCTGGCTCTGGGGTTCTCCTGGTGAGCACAGCAGTAATAGGACAGTTGGCCATTTAATTCCCGTGGCTAATTAGCTTGTTCATTTTTTCATTTATTCTTTCAGGGAATAAACAATAAATAAAGCTGGTTTCCACATTTTCAAAATCTCTGATTGCTGTCCAGCTATTTTGTTATCGGAAGCTGGGCAATGTCATCACGTTACTATGTAACTTGCTTAGCTAGCAAACAAAAGTTAAAGGGCTTTAAGTCAGTGCAAGTTTTCACATCATGGATAGTAGTTCTAAAATGTTCAAACAAAACGTTCCTTTGTCATGTTTAAAGACTGGCATTGGTGCTACACTATAGCTTGCAGAATAATAAAATAAATAATAATAAAAGGTAATGTTCTAAATATATTAATATTTATGTCAGAAAATTCATAAATTAATACTTTTACATTAATATTTCTGCAAAACAACTTCAATAGATTATTTTACAAGAATGTTATCTGCTCTGTGGTATGAAAATTTTAAGACATAGGCACAATACTTAAAGATAACCAGTTCAAATAATTTCAGCAGATATTTAATTTAAAAAATTGAGTTTCAGCCTCATGAAATCTGATCAAGCTGTTTCATAGTGTTGGTGTGACAGAATTACTGTGATCAGATCTGTTGTGGGACAGACAGATTGGCCAGTTTTAAACCCTGCTGTTACCATGGTAAGAGTACTGAATCACACATCCAAGAATGTGAACTGTGCATGGGACAATGCCTTCAAAACGTTATTGTTTTTAAGAAAATGCTGCAACAACAACCAGTCCAAGTTTACCTGCAGTTTCTAGCGAAGGTCCCAGAAGCCACCTCTGTGATTTTCACCACCCAGCTGCTGTTACTACTGTTGGTGAAGTGAGAACTGCCTGTTGAAGGCTGTTCATTAACCCAATTGTCAGAGGACAGATACAGCAGTGGGAGTGGGAGACTCAGTACACAATTCAAGGGGGGCTTCAGATCAGGAAAGCAAGATAACGCCAGTGGGACAACTCTTGTATGCCACACCGGTGTTTTTATCCTAGGTCTTTACTAATATTAAAAGTCAAATTTTGCTTTTCAACCCCCAGGAAGTGTGTGTGTGTGTGTGTGTGTGTGTGTGTGTGTGTGTGTGTGTGTGTGGGTAAGGGGGGTGGAGGGGTTTACAAAAAGAACATTTTTGAGAACAAATAAAACAATGGCACACAAAAAAAATGTAAAGGACATCAAAATTTGTGGTTAGCCGACTCTTTGTCAGCTAGCGCTGCACTGGCCTTTCGATTGGCTGGTTTGCTGGGTGTTCTGTTTTAGAAGCAGTGGTGCAGAGAAAACAGCACTGCTTCAGCTCCGCACTGTTTCATTATTATGGATCAATTCTCATACCCTTTGTCAGTGTGACACACTGATCGCCTCTGATCAATAGGGCTCTGGTCACACAAACTAACTTGCTCGAATTGAATTGATGTGTTTTAATGTCAGCTTACGCGTGTTGGCCTTTACATTACAGCGAAAGTGCTGGCGTGTGACACCCTCGGTCAGGTTTCTAGAGGCCATTTATGGTTAGTTATACAGAGGGCAGTCGTTATTGTGAGTGGAAAAACATGACAAGCTGCAGATAATTGGGCTAATCAGTTTCGCAATCAACTGGCCCACAGTTCATTGTGCGGACTGAAATGATGATTGATAAAGCTTTTGACAGTTAGGGAGAGAGTCAGTGCACGGCTGCAGCCCTTTTCCCTTGCCGACAATACAGGCAGTGTGCACTGGGCATCTCTTCAGCCTCCATGTCTTTGCTATTTCCCACTATTTCACACACACACACACACACACACACACACACACACACACACACACACACACACACACAATCCCTCTCCACAGCAGGCCTGTGGCCTCTTCAGTATTAGATGCAGCATTGTCAGTGTATTGCTCTGAATTTGACTGGCCAGTAAAGAGCTCCTTCCT